ATAACCTTATATCTTAATAACGCTAATGTTTTGATCCATTCTTATGATGTTTGCAAATAATAATGAATGAATAATGTGCTTCTTTCACGCATATGTAGTATATTGGGGGCCTCCCCTCCTCCTCTCTCCACCAAAAATCAATATTTATAATGTAATAATTCAGCCAGATCAAGACATGGACATGTGGTGGACCTCGTTTCTGCCACTCAATGGAATACATGTAGCGCGTGTAGGGCCAAAGATCAATAGTTCATTAACGGTGTATGTAAGTTTCACCATGTTTATCACTACAACGGTACAGCAAAGAATATTTTTAGCATTAAACTGTTATTATTTTATTTTTTAATCATCACTACATATAACATCATCCATCATCACTACATACACCCCCATCATCACTACATATAACAACATCCATCATTACTACATATAACATCATCCATCATCACTACATATAACACTATCCATCATCATTACATATAACATCATCCATCATTACTACATATAACACCACCCATCATCACTACATATAACAGCATCCATTATCACTACATATAACATCATCATCCATCATCACTACTATTACATCCATCATTACTACATATAACACCATCCATCATCACTACATATAACACCATCCATCATCAATACAGATCGGTAAGTAGTTCCGAGATTCTCGTGCGGACACACACACAGACATACCACCCTTCTCTTAAGCTCCTCTGCGTGTGTGTTGGTGTGGGGATTAGTGGATGTCATCATTATGACCTGACCTCATGTTTTTAGGTCACCCTGTATATTTAAGCCTCTCTCTGTCCATGTAATTCAGTTGCCTCTGAAGATGTCTTGAATAAAGACGAAAGCTAAGGTACTCCGTTGTTTCCATTTTCCCGTGTGATTTTATCAATATATATATATATATTCTGTACATACATGTAGATGCTGTAATATGTGCCCACCGCCACAAGGCTCCAGACAACAACACATCCCTCAACTCCGCAAAGTTTTTTTATAAAGAAACACCAATTTAAAGTTCTGCCAAGATTTTTTCCTTGTTCCCTCTCAAGCATAACCAATTGTGAGAAAGTTTAACTTTCTTCATTGCACTTTCTCAGTATCTGGAACGCTGGAGTTATCTAGAAAATATCTGGTAGTTAGAGAGAGTTGTCGGGGTGAGCAGCCAAGTCTAGAATTTTATGTGAGGCAAAACTTGGTATATGAGCGTTTGTGGCCTTGTAAAATTGAGCTAAGATTCTGAACAATAAACCAACTTACTGGAGTACGACGGAGGAAATGACTGCTAAAAAACATGAAAATATATCAAGAAAAGAAGAAAGGAAACAATAAACGCTACAACTCTTTTGTTTTAATAAAATGATCAATTTCGACTGGCAATGAACTCTCATGTTTGTAAAGAACCTTAAACAATAAACATTAATATTCCTTTCTATTCCTTTCTTATCGTTATCAGAATAAAAAAAAATATCCTGCCTCATTTAGAAAAAAAAAGATTTAGTTGTCTAAAATATATATCAAAAAATCTGTTTTTACATTACTTCCTGATGGCATGAATGTTGCCAGCTTGGTGGGTCAATATTTATCATCTACTTCATAGAGTTTAAAAGGTATTACAAGACATAATTAGTTTTGTGGGGAAATTTCGATTCATATACGACACTAAAGCACTATCATAAACATTTACTACATCCTCCCCAGGCAGTAAATAGGTGGGCTGAGAGAGAGGGAGGGGAAGGGGGGGGGAAGAAGAAGAAGAAGAAAAAAAAGGGAGACTAGCTATCTTTCACAGGTAACTCAACTAAATTAAGGTTATCATCTTGCCTTTCATCCCTAAAATAGCGAAGCAAATCTTTTCTTCCCTACTTCTTTTATCCAACCTTTAAGCTCTATTCCCAGCTGCGTGAACTGCTGTGTTAACTCTATATCAGGAGTTAGCGATGATATGAAAGATATACATAGACAGAAAAAACATCTTAATGACGAAAATACAGTTATCGGGAGAAAAGATTTATAGAGTTAAAAAAACAAAAACACAATACCACTTAAAGAAATATGCAGAAAAAGGCCAAAACTCGTCAGAAACAATAGTACAGTTAGAGTTACAGGCAGAGAGAGGCTTAAGTATCTCAGGATCAGTAGCTACATTTACAGGTAATTAACTTTTAAGTAATTCAGGAACAACAGTATAGTTACAGATATAGGAAGATAATGACAAATAGCTCAGAGTGAAAGGTATAGTTAAAAGTAGAGCTTATTATAGTCTATACAAAGATGAAATATTAATCCTTGTATTTATTTTAGAGTTAGACTAATCTGAATATTTTTTTAATGCCTATTCCTCTTTGTTCGTGAATTAAAGAGATATGTCAAGAGGAGAAAAACTCTAATGGAGAGTTCTGGAGGTTTGAGATCTCCCAAGCTGAGGGAGACTGGCTGTAAACTTGACCAAGCTAAAATATATGAAAATTGTTGAAAAGTTTACAGAGAGAGAGTGAAGGAAGTCGTCGATCCAGAGTTAAATAAGATACTGTCAAGACCATCGTTACTAGGGCTACCACAACACCATCACCACTAGCTCCAACACCACTACCACCATCACTACTATCACTATCACTACCACTACCGTCACCACTACTACCACCATTAGTACCACCACTACCACCATTACTACTACTACTACTACTACTACTACCACCACCGCCGCCGTCACCACCACCACCGCTGCCACCACCACCGCCGCCGCCACCACCACCACCACCACTAGTACCACCACTACCTCCACTAACTGCAACTACAACCAACGCCATCGCCACCACTACTACCATCACCAATACCACAATCACCACCACTACCACCGCCACCACCACAACCACCACCACTTGCACCACCACTACCAACATTTCACCACTGCTACGATTCCCATTAATTTCCCACACTGACGTTCCATAATGGAGGTAGTTTAAAGATTTTGATCAGTTTATGGTATGCAGTAAATAATAGTTACATTTTCCCTAACACACCTGAACACTGATGCTGTTAAATCTATCGTTCTTATTAATAAAACTCTAGCTATCTCCCTCATTAAATTCAAGTAAATAATTATCTTTTATATTTGCTATAGAATCCGGTGTGTGTGTGTGTGTGTGTGTGTGTGTGTGTGTGTGTGTGTGTGTGTGTGTGTGTGAGTGTGTAATAAAAAATAATAATAATTAACGGTTTATTGAAAAAGTTCTGAAAACGTTCTGCAGCCCGAAGGCTGAAAATATACATTAGACATAAATGACTTATTACATACATTGGTGGTTTAACAAAAGCCTTCATTAGAGAAAGGTAAAGGAACATTCAGTGAATATACAGATTAATGTTTACAGTGGAGGTCACGTAATAATAATAATAATAATAATAATAATTAACGGTTTATTGAGAGAGCTTGGCAGCCAGAAGGCTGAAAATATATAGTTACAAATTTTGGGAATGGGTTTCGAATTACAAATAATATACAAGTAACATAAGTCACACAAATAAGACATATAATAACTAGATGGGGAAAAGCTCAAACTACAGTTCATTTCAACATAGTGACAGTGCAAGGAGTAGTGTTTACTGGGAGTGAGTACACTGTGTGTGTGTGTGTGTGTGTGTGTGTGTGTGTGTGTGTGACCTGTCTTCGTTACCTTCAAATATTTCTTATATAATTTTACTAGTTAATTCAGAGGGTTAGTCACTCACACACACACACACACACACACACACACACACTTAATATCACCCTTCAAAATCCAATTTTGACTACGTTCGTGTTGAATGCAAGTAAATAATGTAGTCAATGTTAATATTATTGGTGGAATGTATTAGTATATAGTGGTAGATTATGACCTTACAAAGGTTGTAACCCCTCTCTCTCTCTCTCTCTCTCTCTGGATACCTTGTGTGTCCTGTAAACGAAGTTAAAGATGGGGTAATTTCATATCTTCTCCTCCCCCACCACTCCTCATCTTCCTACTGATACCTTACCCTCCTCCCCCACCACCACCTCCTCCTCTTGCTCCGTGTCTTCCCGGCTTCTTCCCCAGCCACCTCCTCCTCCACCTCCCCTGTTTCTCCGGTATCTTATTTCCCCTTCCTTATCTACCTCTTCCATCTCCTCCTCTTTCTCTGGCCTCTTATTGTACCTTTATCTTCTCCTTTTCTCTCTCTCGTCTCCCCTCCTCCTCAACAGGAAGTATTGCGTGTGTGGTACAGGACGCTCAAAATGAGACCATTTCATTGCCGGGTCGGTATAAAAGATCAATCAGTCGACAGGAAGGAAAAAGCCTTTCTATTACTGGAGAGTCTAACTGACATTGCCGAGACCTGCATAACACCATCTGACACTGCCATGACCTGCATGACACCATCTGACACCGCCAAGACCTGTATGCTATTATTTGACACCGCCATGACCTGCATGGCACCATCTGACACTGCCAAACCTGCATGACATTATCTGACACTGCCAAGACCTGCATGACACCAACTGACACCACCAACACCTGTATGATATCATTTGACACCACCAAGACCTGCATGGCACCATCTGACACTGCCAAACCTGCATGACATCATCTGACACTGCCAAGACCTGCATGACACCATCTGACACCACCAACACCTGTATGATATCATTTGACACCACCAAGACCTGCATGTCACCATCTGACACTGCCAAACCTGCATGACATCATCTGACACTGTCAAGACCTGCATGACACCATCTGACACCACCAACACCTGTATGATATCATTTGATACCACCAAGACCTGCATGACACCATCTAACACTGCCAAGACCTACATGCTATTATTTGACACCGCCAAGACCTGCAAGACACCATCTGACACTGGCAAACCTGCATGACACCATCTGACACCACTAAGACCTGTATGATATCATTTGTCACCGCCAAGACCTGCATGACACCATCTGACACTGCCAAACCTGCATGACTCCATCTGACACCGCCAAGACCTATATGATATCATTTGTCACCGCCAAGACCTGCATAGCACCACCTGACGCTGCCAAGACCTGCGTGACACCATCTTACACCGCCAAGACCTGTATCATATTATGTGACATCGCCAAGAGCTGCATGGCATCAGCTGACACCACCAAGACCCGCATGAGATCATCTGACAATGTCAAGACCTGCATGACACCATCTGATACCATCAAGACCTGCATGAGACCATCTGACACCATTCAGACCTACATGACACCATCTGACACCGTCAAGACCTACATGAAATCATCTGACACCACCAAGTCCTGCATGACACCATCTGACACCACCAAGACTCGCATGAGAACACATGACACAGTCAGCACCAGTAGTATCACTCCATGACTGCATAAGTACAGGTATTAGTTTACACAATCGTCAGGTTCTTTCATCCATGACTCCCTCAGGTCCGTCAGCACGTAAACCATTGGCCTGAAATTTCGAAAGCTACTTAATATCAGCTTAAAATGGTCAGATGTGTACAGTCGGGGTCAAAAGTCTTGAACACTTGACAGTATTTGGCATGTAAGTACCCCAAGATCTTAGTTATTAAGAAGTGTTTTATCCCATTTTGTGGTTCAGGCATAATATGTGATGACAAGTAGTGTTATTAATATATCCCAATCATATATGTATAACTCTGAAGTAGCTGCAACGAGTGTGCAACAAGTGGTACAACGGAAAATTTAAGAACGAGTACTTGTTTATAACTTTGGTGATAGGTGTCTTAACTTTATTAAAGTATAAACTCTCCGTGTGAAGTGTATTATGACCACCACGAAGCGCCCAATAGGATCATTCAGTTACCTTAGAATTAGATTATCCCGCCTTTAGTTAACTTTCGTTATACGGGTGTTAATTTTACCTTGACCGCTTTAGTGAACTCACATTGTCATTTGGAAATAGAAGTGTGTGTGTGTGTGTGTGTTGTGGTAATCCTTTATCCAAATAAAATTTATGACAGTATAAAATGGTTGTGCTTTAGTAATACTTTATCGTAATAGAAGTAACAACAGTGTTTAATATTCTTTGTAGGTAATACTTGCTCTTCCCACGAGTTATGATTACCTTACATGCATTTTGCTCGTGTTTATATTTTAGTGTGTGTGTGTGTGCACAAGGTGGTGCAATGCGTCTACTGTGGCAGCATTATGTTTGTGTTAAGGTGCAAGCTTTGCTTACTTTCTCTCGCTTTCAGCTACCACCGGTGGGTAGCTCTCGTGGCGAACAGGGAAGCAACTTGCTTAAGTCTTCCCCTGCCAGTACACAGCCTCTTCACCATCAAGACTTCTGTTGTGCTTCCTCGTGGCAACACACGGTAACTGAGTTCTTCCTGGGCCCAGGCTAGACCAGCAGGGGATCCTGGAGTAGCAGTGAGCCCCAGAGGGTCGGCGCATAGGCCCACTGGTATGTGGACACGTCTTGGCGCTTACCAACCACTGCCCCGCTGCCTTTGGATTAACTTTGGTAGGTACAAGACTACGGGAGTAAACCCCGAACGAAAAAGTTGCGGGGGAGCCCGGCATCAGGCAAACATGCTTACAGAGCTCCTACAAGTCCCCAACGGCGGTATAGGCGGAAGAGGTGACCAACATGGGAACCCAACGACTACACCGTAGGAAGAAGGCAATGCATGATGGACAGGCTACGAAGGCGAAACCAAACTGGGCTATCGGCAGTCCATTGCAACTTCCGCTCTCCCCAGTCGTTGCAACACTTGCACTACTGGATCAGGAAAAGAGAGAGCCAAGATGTGTGGTTGCACTCTGAGCTCCTGCCTCGCCACATACATCAACTCACACGCAGACGTCATCCAGCTCATCATACTCCTCGTCAACATCAAACCCTTATACATCAGTAATAACTCATATCATTGTGTCATAGCTGGATGATCGCCATACTCGATTCCGAGTGACAACAAAGTAGGAGTAGTACAGTGGATGTATCCAGAGGTAAGATTACACGCAACCTCTCTTACTCGCATATTGACTTTCCCTTACAGATAATACCCAGCGAGCTCCTCACACCTACTACTGTCGCTTAGGTCCAACTGATGTGTTATTTTGTTTGTATTCAGCATTGTGATTTTATCTTATATTATACAATAGTTTGCTTCCTTACGTACTTAAGCTGTAGTGTTTGTATTTCCTCGTCTTCGTACACTGATATATCCAGTTTGTGTCCAAAGGTGGGTTCAGACTCTCGTTTATGACTGTAATATTTTCATTGGTGTAGAATAATCCCTTGGCAGCCAACCTGGAGGGCGTCTTCCTGCTGGTCACTTGGTTCCACTTTGTATTTTATGGTTGGTTGACTGAATCTTTTTGATGAATAACACTGGTCAACATAAAAAAAAATTCTCATGGTTCTGGATCAAAACAGTCTGATTCTAGTGTAATTGTATGTGCTGAACTCAATTATGACATTCGTATAGCTGTATCAGGCTCAGTTTTCCAGAACCAGCATATCTATATATTTAGTGTACCATGCTATTCATACAGTAATTTATATGCTCATTGGCTCCACTTATGCAATTATTTTGTCCTGATTTGTGCTTTTTTGTTTGTTTCAGTTTGCTGATTCATGATATTGCATATCTACACCTGCATGATTTGTAATTACTCTGAAATTAACAAAACATGGAACGTCGCAAGTGTGTGAACGGGGCTGACAGTTTTTGCTACATATATGGTGCCTTCACTCCTGGTAGCCTCAAGAAACCAATCACAAAAGCTGTTCGACTGAACTACAAAAGTTACTTCAAATGTCATTTGGGTGACCAAGACAAGAAATGGGCACCTCATGTAGCCTGTAAGTGTTGTGTTAACCACCTGAGCGAATGGATGTGTGGTAAACGAAGTTCAGGAATGCCGTTTGCTGTACCAATGATATGGCGTGAACCTAAAGACCACAGTAGTGACTGCTACTTCTGTCTCACAAATATTAAGGGAATAAAAATCAAGACACGAGGCAAGGTACAGTACCCCAATATTGTTTCTGCAATCCGACCAGTACCGCACAGTGCTGAACTTCCAGTCCCAAATCCCCCGACTGAACAAGAATTGAGTGATTCCGATTCTACCTCTACCTCAATGGAAAACAACTACCAGGATGACTCTGAAAATACCAGGCCTAAACTATTTACTCAAGAAGCGCTTCATGATCTCATCAGGGACCTAAACTTGTCAAAAGAAAAGGCTGAAGTTTTGGGATCCAGACTAAAGCAGCGTAACCTGCTAGAAGATGGAGTGCATATCACTACAGCGCGTTACCGACATAGACAGCTGTCTGCATTTTTCAAGATGGCAAACAACCTTTGTTATTGCAAGGACGCAGTATCTCTCATGCAACAGCTCTGCAAGTCTGAAACATACAAGACAGAGGATTGGAGGCTGTTTATAGACTCAGGAAAAGACTCTCTGAAAGCTGTTCTTTTACACAATGGCAATCGGCTTCCATCTGTCCCAATAGCACACGCAACAAAAATGACTGAGAGCTATGAAACAATGAAAATTCTGTTGGCCGCTATAGAGTATGAGAAACACCAGTGGAAGATATGTGGCGATCTCAAAGTCATCAGTTTACTACTGGGCCTTCAGAGTGGCTACACAAAGCACATGTGCTTTTTGTGCTTGTGGAACAGCAGAGCTGATGCAGAGCACTATGTGAGAAAGGATTGGCCGACAAGACCAAGAGATGCGCCTGGAAGGTTTAACTGTGCTCACAATCCGCTTGTAGATCCAGAAAAGATATTTTTGCCTCCACTGCATCTAAAGCTCGGTTTGGCTAAAAATTTCATCAAAGCTATGGATCAATTCGGTGCTGGGACTCTATACTTATCTCAGAAACTAGGTGGTGTGGTTTCCGAAGCCAAGTTGAAAGCAGGTGTCTTGAATGGACCACAAATTCGTATACTAGTTAATGATAGCGAATTCACCAAAACATTGAACCCACTGGAGAAAAAAGCATGGGAATCATTTGTCAATATGTCAAAGAATTTTCTTGGAAACTATCGTGCTGACAACTACAAAGAAATCGTAACAACCATGCTTCAGAATTATCATGCATTGGGAGCAAGGATGTCCTTGAAATTGCATTTTTTCCACTCTCATATTGAATTTTTCCCAGGTAACCTTGGAGACGTTAGTGATGAACACGACGAAAGATTTCATCAAGATATCGCCATAATGGAGAGCAGATATCAGGGACAATTGAGTCCTAACATGATGGGCGACTATTGCAGACTGCTGCGAGAAGAGCAGCTGTACAGAGAAGGTAAAGTTCAAACTTTTAGAACTTCATATTTTGTCATTAAGAGATTTGAACTTATGTTTTTGGTAAAATTTTTTATGAACTATCTGTGATAGGTTTAAAGGTGTATCTTGCATGACGCGATAATGTTACTATATTTACTATTTTTTTTATTCTTTAAGAAAGTAGGTCAACCTGGTCTGATAGAACAAAACAAATATCAGATTCGAATTCAGCAATATGAAATTAGTTGTGTGAGCATGATCTCATATGTGAACCATTTTGGCTGTTATGATGTTATACACGCGTGACGGAAAATAATTCTTATAATTTATATGTGAAGGAGATATATCCTTATGTGCCATATCACACATCTGTGCCAGACAGTAATTCTTATGTAATGTATTACTGCGTTCATAGCAAATCCGCCACCCATTTACGTAGACCAGTTTAGGAAGTCACTAAGATGGCACAATATATATATGTATATATATATATATATATATATATATATATATATATATATATATATATATATATATGTATATTTATATATATATATATTTATATATATATATATATATATATATATATATATATATATATATATATATACATCAGTGTATATATATATATACATATATATATATATATATATGTACATATATACTGTATATATATATATATATATATATATATATATATATATATATATATATATATATATATATATATATATATATATATATATATATATATATATATATATATATATATATATATATATATATATATATATATATATATATATATATATATATATATATATATATATATATATATATATGCAAGTAAATCACTGTAGGTGCGCGTGATCTAGGTATATGCTGATAACCACAAGGGAAAGAAAGAAAACACGAAGTTCCAGCGCTTTCGTGTAATTCACATCTTCATGGGTGAGTACAGACTAAAGAAATACGAACCAAGGTGTATATATACAGGAGGTGAGACCAGGTCACAATGGTCAGGTAGTAATGACCCTACTAATCGTTAAATAGCACGCAACGGTTGGTGGTCAGGTCAGATAGTAAGGT